GACACACTATTTTTTTTTTTTTTTTTTTGCATAAAAGCCCAAGTTGCTGACTTAACCATGCGTGTGTGGGGCAAAATCAAAGACGCTAGCCACACTGGGGCTTACAGAACAAACTGAAATCTGAACCACTGTCTTCCACAGGCCAGCCACTCTGCTTTTACGTTCATCCAGGTTAACTGCCTGCTAAGACAAAAGCATCAACACTCTTCGAAGTAATACAACTGATTCCAGAAGATATCACACTCACAACATCCATGGTATAGCCCCAAATTAACCAACATGCTGAGGAGCCAAGAAAATGGGATGCCAACATCAAGAGAAAAACACCACCACAGATGCCAACTCTGAGGTGACCAAGATGCTGGAACTATCAGGCAAGGACTTTGAAGCAGTGACTGTAACTGCTCACCGGGGAAAAGGAAAGGATATTTGTGATGAATATAATCATCAGCAGAGTATCAAAGCTACAGACGTAAAAGCTGAGACATTAAAAAAACCTCTCCTATTATCAAGAACAAATAATATTTAAGAAAAGTATCACTTGCCTTCACAATTCATCATGGGCCCTGGCTCAAAGCCTTCATTGCAATTGCATTCAAAACTCCCAATAACATTGGTGCATGTACCATTCCCACATGGATTGCCGATCGAACATTCGTCAGTATCTGAGAAAAGAAGAGTAAGAAAAGTGCCCAACAATCTGCAGAGTTTTAGTTTAATATGAGCATGCCCATGAATATCCGCCTGGCCCTCACACATTCCCAGGATCTTTACAGGGCACACCTGACTCTGTACCCTCCTTGGCCTTGAATGGCTGGCCAGCCCTGATTCAGTGCAGACGAGCCCCAAGGATCAAGTGTGCCAAGCTCTGAGTCCCCAGACAGCCATGTTTTCCCTAAAAGTCACAAGCCCATAGAGGGGTGTGGTCTTCTGCTACAAGAGCAGCTGCAGAAAGTCAATGGACCTAAAATGGACCTCTTTCCCATTACTGGTTTTGGCAACAATAAAGCTCTAGGCTAGGCACACCAGAGTTTGTACATTTGGTTGAAGGCAGAGGTTGGGCAACTCTCTCCATATTCACATAAACCAGGTCTACTGGAAAATACAAGATGGGAGAAGAAAAAGCCGTTACTAGCTCCTGATACTGGCTCTGTGAGTCCTACCACCACCCGGGGCGCCTGGAATAGGAGAACTAGAACAGAACTTTCCAGGTGTGTCACGTGGAGCCAGCACTCACCCACACAGCGCACTCCAGTGTAATCCAGGTTGTAACCCATTGGGCATTCACAGCGAAAAGACCCGTCTGTATTGATACACTGACCATTTGAGCAAATGCCTGGACTCTCAAGGCATTCATTGACATCTAAAATAAAGAATTATCCATAAACTTCCTCAGTATAAAAAAGATACGTCGAAACTGTGTGTATCTATTCAACAGAGACTTAAAATTTACAAGACATGTACGCATTTCTTTTGCCAGATAAATACGTACTGTATTTCGTATACAGTGTAGTCTCATGATAAATATAATGCACGTGATATATAATGCTGTGTATATATATATACATTAAAATATACTGTATGTTATACAGTAAAATATGATTTATAGAATAAATGTACAATGATTTATTTATATGAAGATTATAGGAATAAAATACGTCAAACCACACCTTCACGAGTGTCATGAAGACTGGGAACCGTTCCGTGGCCGTAAGGACACAAGTCCTGGAAGGCAACTGTAGAGAAGAATACAAATTCCCCATTACTGAAGAGTCTCAGCTATCGGAGACCTTCGGAACTGATTAATGGTATACATGAAATCCGACTTATCTATCTTTATGGTTTCCTTCAAAAGCAACACTGAGCCTATTTAGAGCAGGTCACCCAAGCTTGCCCAGCGCCTTCTGGGGTGCCGCCGACTGAGGGCTTCTGGTTCTGTCTGTTTGCTCCTTTAAGGCCGAGTGGCCAGAGCCCCCTCTGCCCCGGACACACAGGAGCTACCTCGGACCTAGAGACCAAGCTGGTTCCGAGCCCGCTGGGAAGCAGCCTACATCTCGGCTGCACCAACACAAGACCTGGGAGCCTCCTGGTCTCCTCCTGCAAATGGCCCTTGTGCTGACTCAGCCCCTCACCCTTTTATGTAAGATTCTGAGAGCGGCAGCCCATGGTCCGATCCCCACGTGGGACTCGTGCAGCAGTTGGGAATATAATTTTCACCCCCTCCTTGCATCTCCTGGCCCGCACCTCTCAAATTCATTCCTTTGAAAGCAAGCACTGCTAACCTCAGGGGGTGGGGGAGAATGAAGTAGTGGGAACGCTAGCTGGGTTCACACATTCACACATACTGAACACCCAAGTGGAGAACGAGTCTCTCGGACGAGGGTGCGCAGCGAACTTCACAGTTTAGACGTGAGGGAGGAGTTTCGCCTTCAAAATACTCATCAGTTACACGGTTGAGGTGACTGAGAGTCATTCCCAAACCCGCACAAAGTGGCCAGCCACTCTTACCTTCGTCATCTTTGGGGCACAGCTCACAGGGGTCCCCCCAGCCCTCTCCTGGCATTTTACTACAGCAACACTTGGCCTTGGTGGTGTTGAAAGCTTTGGGTACAGAACACTTTCCGTTTTCAAAGTTCGTGAAGCAGAAACTCTGGCGGGTATCTAGTCAAGAAACAGGCCTCCTTACTGGTCATGTGAAAACACAGAATACTCTGCAGATAACGGTTTCTGATGCAGCGTTTCTCATGGGCTGAACGCAGGATGCAGATTAGATTAGCAGTTGAAAGACAGGTCTGGAAAACCTCCCTGGCCGATTTCACATGCCAACTTACACTGACCTATCAAATTTGACGTAATTGTTCAAAATGTTTAAAATGTTTTTATAACGTCCCTAGGAAACCTGAGAAATGATGCTCAGTATTAAAATGATTTCCATAGCTTTTCTTCTACTGTTACATGATAGCCTAATAAAAACATTCCACATAACTTTCAGTAAAACCATTCACATTAAAAGCAACTCATATACTAGTGTACAAAAAAAAAAAAAAACTATACCAACAACAAATGCAACAGTGAAGCAATAATAATAAGTGAATAAAAATAGTAATTTTTAGTATGACATTAAAAAAAATGTGGAAACAGAGCCAAAAATTCAAAGTACCTTAAAAGTGTCCGGCACGTATGGTTTTGAGACCTATATTTTTAACTTAGACGTATTTGCCATAGACATGTACTTTGTAGTGACCTACATTCGCATGAGGGTTTACGGTCTAGCTGTGAAGTTCCTAAGAGCAAATGATGACAGAGAAGCCATTCCAAAGCTTACCAAAGCATCTGCGTCCATTATCAGACAGTACAAAGCCGGGGGGGCAGATGCACTGGAAGCCCCCAGGAGTATTGGTGCAGGAACCAAAAAGACAGATGTTGGGATCTTCGTCACATTCATTTATATCTGGATAAGAGCAGGAGAACATATTGCTTTAAGCAAATTAATACACTGTTCAGTCTTTGAAAATAAATAAATTTGTCCATACTACCACAAACCACTAGCCACTGATTATTTAATATGAAACGAGAGTACATAACGCGTATGTATAACTTATCCTTTAAAAGTAAACTACTATCACTTCAAAGATTATATCCAGTTTCAATCAACTATACAGCCCAGACACCCAAGCAGAACTCCAGCTCGTGGCACCTGATCCCTACAGGTGTGTGTGTATGTCCCATCTGCTTATCACATGTGACCAATTCAATATCCTACAGGTGTCATAGCCTCAGTGGGTCTCCTCCTCTGATGCTCCTCTCTGCCATCCAGGTTAAGATCCCAGAGTCAGCTTTATTCCTCCCCCTGACTCCAGATGCAGGCAGCATGTGACCTGTCTCTTCTACCTCCTCTGGGCTTTCAAACTCAACCTCACCTGCCCCCGTAATATTCCCATAAATCTCCTAACGGACGGGGGCGTCTCCCTCTCGTCCCCTCACACTGCCTCCAGGCTAAGACACACATCTACTTGAAGGTCTGTGCCTATGGAACCAGGGGGACTCAGACATGGTTTGAGGATTTCATCGTTCCCACCTCACCCCTTTGAAAGGTTCCTTCAAAGAAGTAAGTATTCCCTACCAGTGATACTCGGCCTTTTTATTTTTTTCATCGCAAGTGCTTATTTAGTGAGTTATTTTACCGCAGTGAGGAAACATTACACAGTTCCAGCCACATTAGAAAGTCAGCTCCACGAGGACAAGGACACAGCTGTCCGGGTCCCTGCTGCACCGCTCAGCCTAGCGCGGTGTCAGGCACATACTACATTCTCCATTTATATTCGTAGAATTCTAGTGAGTCATACCAAGCCCTTTCTTTAAAAGTCAAAACCAAACCAAACCAAAGCCCTGCCGTGCTCCACACTGCCCGCAGGACCGAGTTCAGTCTTCTGAGCCGCCCACTCACCACCCCTCCCTTGGCACACCCGGGTGCCTGTGTTTCCCGGTGGCCTCCGGTGTTCTCTCCCCTTCTTTGATTAGTCACTCCCTGTCCAACACTTAGGGGCCACCTCCAATGTCACCCGTCCTTTGTGATGAGCTGCCTTGACCTGCCGTAGTTCTATCACCATCACCACAGCCCCAGCCTGTGCTCCCACAGCCTGACCCCCCTGGTGTGGCATCCATCACACTGGATTGCAAGGCAGCTTTACTTACAAAATAGGTCTTTTCTTTTAAGCAGTGGGTTACCTAAAGGCACGGACTGTATCTTTTTGTATTCCCAGCACCTAAAAGGTACCAATCATTCACTGTGACGCACACTGAAAGGTGTAATGAATTTGTGTGTGTGTGTGTGTGTGTGTGTGTGTGTGTGTATACATGTGTGATATGCGTAGGTTTGTGTAAGTGGGTTTACAGTCGTGTTAGGAATCATTTCATCCGGGTAAAATTGGTAGAAAAGATTGTAGCCTGAAGAAAATAGTCTTACAGCGAAGTTAAGTAAAGATCATTTTTTTTTTTTTTCAGAGATGCAAAATAGGAGGGTTGCTAACGATGGATAAGGAAAAAAATACTTTTGCAGTTGAATAAAAGGCTACTGAATCACAGATTTTTTTTTTTTCACTAAGAGAAAAGGTAGCTGAGCCTTTCTGACCCAGAGAAGTGCATGTATTTCTTTTCCCTTCTAATGGCTGACACCCTGCTACGGTCATTGTTTTATAAAGGGGTGGACTATAGGGATAAAGAAGAACTGAGATTAAATATGGAATTAAGGAAATGAAAGAAAGGATCTTTTACTTTTTAAGAAAGTTGTTATTAAGATGTGTCTAGTCTTCACTATTTTTTAAGGATTAAAAACAGTTTTACAGTGCACTCACTATAGAGATCAAGAAAGGGAAAAGATATAAAGACCAAACTGGAATGACGTGGGGTACCCATTATATGAAATCACATGGTCTGAAGAATAATTAAATTTGATGAAGTAAACTGTCTCCCTCACGTCTGTCTATCAGAGTCCCTGGAAAGTGAACTACTAGTAGAACTACATAGATTTATTTTTTAATTGGATAACTCGAAGGCAAAAAACCCCTCAGCAATCATTTCATGTTAGAAGAACCACACTAAGATGGTGCTTCTGAATTTCAACAAGACTGTAAAAAATAATTTGTATAAAAGTGAAATTAAGTAACTGTAAAAAGGTCGGCCTTCATCATGCTCACCAGGCAATTCTGGGACCCACTTTTGATGTGGTTACAGTGTTCTTGAATGCTGGAGGAGTTTCAGCAGAAAAACATCTGTTATGACAAATGGATTAATATTTTCTGTTTTGACATGAGGCCTTCCCAAGGGAAAAAAAAAAGTCTCAACAGCATAGTCGAGATTTTCTGCTCCACATTTCTAAGACTCTAGACACCTTTAATAGCTGTTTTAAAATTGGTTGCCAAAGATTACAATTTTTGTAGACTTTCTTTAAATTCAGTAGAAAGTCTCTGCTGACATTTGGAAAAAAGATTAGAGTGCACTGAAAATTCTTTGACTGGTGTAACATTTCTGTTAATGAAAAACCCCACGTCCCTAAGTGCTTTGTTCCCACCACTACACCTTCAAATCGATTCTTATGGTTCAGGGAAGCAGCTGTAGGTAGCTCTGTGTTTAATTCCGTGGGTCAGGCTGCCTGCAGTGGTTTGGATGTAGTATCCTTCCATAGGGTCTGGCCTGGGTCTTAGGCCGACAGCTCGTGGACCTCAGAACAAGTGTTAACCTTACCAATGCAGTTCTCGCTTTTCACTTCATACCCCGGGGGACAGATGCATCTGAAGGACCCCTCCAAATTCTGACAGGTACCAGGAGAACAAGAGCCAGGGAGAGCGACACATTCGTTAGTATCTTTAAAGAGAAACAAGAGAAAAAAAATGACTTAACTATGAGATAACTGTTGCCAAATGATGTTAACATGAATTCAACTTGGGTCTCTCTGATCTGTCAGGTCACTATGGACAAATATGCCCTGAGATACTCTTTTGACATCTTGGGTATCACTCATTTGGCAAGAGGCTGATTTTTCTGATTTGTTTCCTTTGTCTCCTTTTATGGTGACATGGAGAGCCCCAAGCTCTCTTCCAATAAAAGCATTTTGGACAAGTCATTCCCAATTGTTGGTGTATTCCTTATACCCGTATTGCCCATGGTATCTTATTTTGGTCAAGTAATTAGATGATCAAACGAAATGTGAGAGAGGTTCCAAGTGTGTGTGTGTGTGTGTGGAGGTGGGGGTGGGGAGTCACATCATTATTTAACGAAACGACACATAGACTGTCTACTGTGTAGATAGTTACCTATACAATTCTTGCCATCTGGAGTAAGTTCATAACCTTCATTACATAAACACTTGAAGGAGCCGATTTCATTGAAACACCGTCCATTTCTGCACACCTGACCAAAGAAGGAGCTGCACTCATCTATATCTGTAAGCAAACGGGAATGAGCTTTTCAGAGACAGCCTTTACACATGTATCGTGTTACATGTTGCAGCGTAAAAACATATTCACAGGCCCACATTTACAAATATGCTTCATTATAATCTTCATCAACGCAGAGAAAAAAAACTCCTAGTGGAAGCACTGAGTGACCAGTAAGGTCACAGAGATCCCTACTATATTTCAACCCCAAATTTTGATATGAATAGAACTCAAATTTAGAGCCAGGTAAAAAACTGAAGGTTTATAGCGAAGCTCTCCATTCTTTTCAAATGAAAAATATTTCTTTCCTTGGAGACCAGAAAGTGTACAGGCTTAACCTGATGGCCTAGTTTGCAGATGATTATACCTGGAGATAAGCTAACTATAGTCAAAGCACAGATAACGGGGCATATTAAATATAGAAAAATCAATTATATTAAAAATACTCTAGAACTGCTAACATACATTTTGCTGACAAAATATAGAATTTGAAAGAAAAAAATCTTAAGTTTCAGTGAAACTTAGGGCTGACTGCTTTGGAGTAATTACTCTATTAATTACTGCAGGTTTTTGAAGGATGTGTTTGGATCAGAGCCCTATTGGTGTCTTTAGTTCTCCCTGTTTATTCAAAGGGTCTTAAGAACTATAGGTAAGAAGGTGGTAGTTGAAAAAAATGTCCAGTTAGCTCTAAATTTTTTCACAGTGACAGAATCCGGAAAAAGAAAAAAAAAAACAAAAACGGGGTTGCTGGGGTGGCTCAGTCGGTTAAGCGTCTGACTCTTGATTTCAGCTCAGGTCATGATCTCAGGGTCCTGAGATCAAGCCCAGCATCGGACTCCGTGCTCAGCACAGAGTCCGCTTGAGATGCTCTCTCTCCCTCCACTCTCCCCTGACTCACAGATGCGTGCGCACGTGTCTGGGCATGCACTCTCTCAAATACACAAACAAAATAAATACAAAAACAAACAAACAAACAAAGACAAAACTGAGAGGAGCATGTTCTGGTAAACTGGAGGTCAGAGGTGGGTTTGAGCCACACGGATCCCGTAACGGTCGAGGGCCAGCGTTACTGTCCCATACCTTACAGGACCGTGCGCGTGAAGAGATGCTGACTGCGAAACACCAGCACGGTGTCTCGCGAATGGTAAACAAGACACGTGCTCAGCATTTGTTTGTCCTTCCTCTTGCCCTGTTCTCCACCGACTTAAGGAACCTCCCCCCTTACTCACTATTAATTCTTGTTTTAATCATTGTTGTTTAGGGGCAAATGATACAATCCTGTACCATGCATAGGAGACACTTCCATTTTCCCCTGAAAATTTATGGTTGTTCAAAATTGAAATCAAACAGGTTTCTGAGGGCTGATGTGGAGACCCAGCCCCCAGCCCCCACCCCTTTGTGTGGGAAAAGACATCCCTGTTTCAAAGGCTGACAGAAAATGAAGTTTCAAGATGCAACATGTTTTTAAGTTGGAGACTCTGTCAGTATTTGACTATAAATCAAGAATGCATTATTTGAAACACTGGAAAAAGCACTGAAACAATGACAGGTCTAGCTGTCATCCCACTTACGGGGTAAAAACCACCCTAAACCGTAGAGCACTCCCAGCAGGCTTGCTATCAACTGCATGCCCTTTCCCATGCATCGACTGGCTGATTGACAGACGTACTCGACACGGCAGACGGTCTTGTGATTATTTAAACCAGTACTACCGCTTTAGTTAACTGGAAATTAGCCAATGTTATTATGTATCTTTCAGCACCTATTTGTTTTTTAATGGTGAAAACATTTCATTTACTCTTTGGTTATATTCCCTATTTCAGGACCCTGTGTGAACATGAAACAGTAGCCCCAGAGAACTGAATACTTACCCAGGCAATCATTATTATGAGTGAGTTCAAACCCTGGGTAGCAGAGGCAGTTATAGGATCCAACCGTGTTTTTACAAGTTCCATTTCCACACGGATGCCGCTCACACTCATCAACATCTACAAAGAAACAGTGGCTCCAAGGAATTCAATTTTCAACTCGAAAAACATAGCTGGTTAAACACTTAGATTTTCCTCATTCAATACTTCTGAACCTGCATTTATTTCAGGAAAATGAGTATGCAATAGAGAAAACTCTAAAATTATATGACAAAGTGCTGCTGAGTGACTTACAGGTTCATATAATACTCAGAGCTCAGCTAAGCAAGCATTCCCTTAGTGCAGATGTTTTAATGAATGGGTTTGCTTGTCAGCTGTAAGGAAACCAATCATTTGAAACACTAAACAATTTGTTCTATTCAAGCATTATCAACACCACTCCCTCAGAAATGTGCACAACTTAATTTGATCAGTACAACAAAGGCAAATTTTAGTTTCCTAAATTTTATGAATAGAATCCAAATTGAAGAAGTCTACTAGAACTCAGTATTATTAGCCTTCAAAAAATGGAATTAAAAATACGTTCAGAAAGGTCCTCCTCATAGAACAGATTCCCCAGACAATGAATTCTAGGCTATTAGAACTCTCCTTCCACGCAAACAAGGGTACTGTTCCTTAGGAAGAAAGCTTTGTTTAAGAGACGTATTATCAAGGAGTTTCACTGCTTTTTATCATGAGTGAATTATTAGGATCGAGGGCATGTTTTCTCCATATGAATTTCTGAATCAAATCTCAAATATTTTTTAGCAAATCGTGTTCTCTCTCTCACAGAATACAGCCAGGACATTCTCAGAAAGTTCATGCAAAGAGGACTAGATCCTCTATCTGTCTTTTGTACAAGCATCCCCTAGAGTTTTCCCCACCACCATGGCTGAAGTCCATAAGGGAACTCTTAGGAGGCAGTAGATGAAGAGTTCTCTAGGTGGTCCTGGTGGTACGGATAGGTCATAAAGGAAACTAGCCCTGTAGTACTGAAATCTGACTTTACTGTTCATACAGGTAGTATCTTCAACACCAAAACAGTAGATGCACAAGTTCAGCTTTTTCTAAACTGAGGATATGTTAATTATAAATAGCCAGGTTTCAAATTTAATTTTCCTCTTTCAAGTGCAATGCATGGAGAATTCTTTTGGCCAAGATACATACTGTGGTTGACATCAGACTGAAGGAGTTACGCTGAGTTCCAAGGTTGGGCTCCAAGGTGGCCAGCCCCTTTGAAAACCCCTCATGTGTCAGCTCAGCAAGTACTTACGGAACACTATCACTACCGAACACTATCACTGCTCAGCTAACCATTACATGAGCTATTGGGAGATTTTAAAGAGTTTTGCTACATTTGCCTCTAAACATGCTTTGAAGAGTTAAAACACAAAAGCAGCCGGTAAGTCCCACGTATTCAATGATTTGAGGAAAAAATGTATAAATGTACGTACATGTGTGTCTATACATTTATTCCAATACTGTTGCTCTTACTACTACTACTCCCTGGCATTCTTGTGGCTGGAAAGGTTTTCTCGAGTGGGAACAGAGAAGGGGAAAGGACAGCTGGTGACTGTGGTGACTTCCACAGAACCCTGAGGGTCCCAGAGTGCATGAGAAACATGTGGAAGGCATCTGAGCAAAAAGGCTGTGTACAGTGAACCAAAGAACATATTGTGGTGTGTCCGTGCTCGGAAATTTTACAGTGAATAAAGGCATGAACAGTTTAACAGAGCTCACTTGTAGCGAGATGGTTTGTGACAAGAGACATAGGAGTTAGTCACCCCAAGTGGCCGACCCGTAAGCCCCCTGGGAGCCTCAGTTCACTGCACTCCCGGACTAACGTCCTCCCGCTTACCCATGCACATAGTCTGGTCCTGCGATGCCTTAAAGCCGTTGTGGCAGATGCACTGATAACTTCCTTGCAAATCAACACACAGCCCATGACTGCAAACATTAGGAATTTCTAAACATTCGTTGCGATCTAAAACAAAAAATAAAACACGTTACACATAACTGATTTTTATTAAGATTCCTTCATTTTTTTCACAGGCCTGTTTCTAGAACCTGCTCTTAATTATTACAGACATCCTGAAAACGAACCATAACAACAGCTGAATCAAAAGAAGCGAGGCTTGAAAATATCCAAGACTCAAAAAAAAAAAAAAAATTAGCCCATTTTTCTACGCTGATTGGTATCTCAAAGATACTATTTTATTTTGGGTCTCATCCTAGGAGAATCCACTGAAGGGATTTCTTTCTTTCTTTCTTTTTTTTTTTTGTCCTAACAAATCAAGTCTAAAATATGTGGTGGAATGGTTTCAATAGGAATGAAAAGATTTGCTTATCTTGCCAAAATTCTCTCTGCAAATAGGTTCTGATAGGAAAGCATGGCCAGCTGCTTGGTGGAGGGGTGGGGAGAAGGCGGCGCGCGGCCTCTCACCTACGCAGGCTCCGTTGGGGGAGAGCTTGAAGCCCGCCGCACACTCACAGCGGTAACTGCCCGGGCTGTTGAGGCAGTCCGCGTGCCGCTGACACAGACTGTCACCATTGCTGCATTCATCAATGTCTGCAAGAGCAACACGGCCACTGTAAGGATCTCCTTATTGCGTCAGCATTACCTTCGCTTCACCCGTGTGGTGACCCGCTCCTCCATACTGCTCAGTACTGCAGAAGACGCCGTACAAATCAGGAGACCGGCTACAACCCCGGTGTGTCCACCGAACTCGTCTGGCTGGGGGTCACGCATCATTCAGATTACCTTCACAGACCAGGAGCAGGTCGTTGTAACTGAACCCCGTGGGGCATTCACAACGGAAGCTGCCAATCTGGTTGATGCACACGCCGTTGGCACAAATGCCTGGGATCTCTTTACACTCATCAATGTCTAAAAGGGAACAGATTCGGTCACATAGATGCAGTTCTGCTTCACGGATTTACCATAAAGACCTCTGACAACACTACGTGTATGCTGGAGGGAGAACACCCACTCAGCATCACAAAAATAAATTCCCGAGTGGCATATAGGCCGTAAGAGAGACTACTTTCCTTTGAATGGATCAAATACACCAATTTTAGTATATTAATTTTAGTGTCAATGTAGCAATGTAGCAAATAAACTTCCTAGAGAATCAAGCTTTCTCTTCAAGTGATGTTTCAGGCTCCCCTAACTGCTACTCCTCATCTAAGGAGGAAAGCTAAGTCTTCTTATTTTTATGTACTTTGTTACAGATGTATTGATCATGGAGTCTTAAAATTATATTGCTTACTTAATCTTTGAGGAAGAAAAGCAGAATGAACAGTAGAAAGTACATTCAGGAGAAAATGATTAGTATAATTAATAATTCTGCAAATTCCTAAGTAGATCAGTAGGAAAGGGATACTACAAAAATACACCCAAAATGAAAACATATAGTTACAAAAAGAGCAACTGAAGGGTACAATAAAAGTGGATTATTTAGAGTCGTGTCATACAATATTCATGAGAAGGAAAATGAAGGTTTTAGCTTGGTATGTACGAAATCTTGAGATAGTCCTACAACTATCATAACCCAATCACCAAATTATGCTGACAGGGTAATACCCTTATTAACACTTGGGTAGAGTCTGTAAATGTGTTAGTTCTTTCTTGTCTGACTATATTAGATCAGAATCCAGATTATTTCATTTTATGGCACTTTAAGCTTTAAAAACACCAAAGAAACTCTTACACAATGCTACCTATATGTATTAAAATAAACATAACCTGGAAAAACTTACCAACAGCTTTTCCGGTGTGAATGTCAAAGGTGAATCCAGGGATATTTCCACATATGGTTTTAAAGTCAGCTTTAAAATATAAACAATGCAAATGCACTCTTAAAATTCTCAAACTCCTTTCAAGCAACATTTTACATACTTGTGCTGACAAATATGTTTTATATTACTTACAACCAGATATTTTAATTTCAGTTGTATTTATTTGATAACAGTACCACCTTCTGCCAGAAGTAGATTCTAGGCATTCTTTACCATTACTATCATCATTAACTTTTTAATGCTCTTACATTAGAAGTAAATCATTACAAGATTCAAAATATCCACTGTAGGCATTTAAATTCTTTTGTTCTTTGGATATGCAGATCTTTAATAATGATCCAGTTTATATACATTGAAAAGCCAGGTTAGAGTACAAATTTAAAAAAGGATTACAAATTGCACAAAGGCACAAGTGTGCAAAAACAGTTGTTTAGTGTGAAACAGATGAACAATGAATAATGAATGAGACATGAATTTTGTCTGATCTTTTTAAACATTAATGTCTATTTTGTTGGAATGTGAAATCTGAGGCATCAGAAACAATGCATCATAGTATAAAACAGAGACTATTAACAGTTAACGCCTATCACGTAAATTCACCAAACTACAGAAATTTAAGAGAATTCTCATTTTTTAAGAAGCAGATTGCTTCTGATGCCCATGGCGACACACGAATAAAACTCCTGAATACAGTGTTAGGTAAAACAGAGTGTAGACCAGATGGGACGTGCTATCAGGGAGGGGCTCTGCATACTTCATCCACCGAAGCTCACTGAGCATCCACAACATAGACAGAGACACACAACAGATGCTCAGTTCAGTAGTTTCTAATAGCCTGGTAATGCATAAATTGTAATTTATATGCATCCTCTCATTTACTATATAACCATATGAACTAGTTACTGTCATTTTTAACTTGTTATCTCTATTCTATATACGAGGAATCAGTTTCAGAAAGGAGAAATCATCTACATAAGGTCAGGTAAGTGGCGGAACTTCAATATAAATACAAACCTGTCCTCTTACACCTAAGCCCTTTACTTCCTCTTACAAAAAGTGATATTTAGGGGCGCCTGGGTGGCTCAGTCAGTTAAGTGTCCAACTCTCAATTCTGGCTCATGTCATGGTCTCGGGGTCACAGGATCAAGCCCCACATCGGGCTCCCTGCTCAGCACGGAGTCTGCCTCTCTCCCTCTGACCCTTCCCCCACTCACGCTCTCTCTCTCTCTCTTCCCCTCCCTCTCTCTAAAATCAATAAAAACAAAACAAAAAGTGATATTTAGTTCCCTAACCCACTGATCTTCAACTTCTAACTGATGGGGGTTTTTAAATTAGAGAACTGTAAAAATGTTTCCATTTGTTTTTTCGGACCACAACTATGGCAAGTTAGTTAAGAACATCCATTTGTCCACTGACTTAGAGCCACCGAGAAAGGCTCCATAGGTCACTTTTCATCTTTCTCCGTATTTTCATTTCATTACCGCATTGATTATATCATCACGTCTGAATACGTGCAACCTAAGCAATATCTGGCAACAAATGCATAATCATTGTTTCTCATTTGTCCGACTGGTGCAACGCTTAGGATCTACAACTACTGAAAGTAACTTTCCACATCATAAATGAACCTGAACAGGCAACAATTTTAAGACATTTATTTTTCTGTTCTCATAGCTATTATCTTTTAGTTTTTCTTTCAAAAGAATCTGTGCTTGTGAGAAAAATTTTACCATGTACAGACCAGTTCTATTTTCTGCCTAAAAATTTCAGATAAGTTTGGGGAAAAAGGATGTCTAAGAAACATGTTGGCAATAGGCTGCTTTCATGTTAAAGTCTGCTCATCAAATCCATTCTTTTGTGTGTGTGTATTTTTCAAGACTGAAACTAAAACAATACTTACTGAATTTGATGGACTTGAAATTACCACAGGTTTTAAACCAAAATATGACACCTTCCAAGTCGAGCACAGTGACACACGACAGTTGCTCAGTAAATATTTGCTCACTGAATAACTGAGTAGTTCACCAGCAAACTATAAAATAACGTTCTAAACGTTCGCTTTTTAGCAGTGGGGCTTATTTTCAGGATCCCGATGCCTCCTCGAAAGATAGCTCAGAAATTAGTATCTGAATCCCAGAAAGGGCCACGTGGGAAATGGAGTCATATGACACCCTTGGCTATTCTCAGAACTGAACATGTCTGGTTTTAGCACACATTTCCTTTTACTCAACTGTCACATATACGTGTCACCAGCTCAGCCTGCAGCAGAAGCATGGCCGTGTGCTTACCTGTTCCTGGGGTTGGGCATGGCTCACATGGTTTGTTCCAGGCTTTGCCAACGTTGTACGTGCAGCAACACATCCTCTTTGTCACATTGAAAGGCAATTCGTTCTCACAAGTGGTTCCGTTATAGCTTCGGTAGCAAAAGCTTTTTCTCATGTCTACATAACGGAAAAACAAGCCAACCAATCAGAGCAGGAAGCAGCTACTAATGAAGTCCATGCACCTGGAGACACCCAGTTTTCTTGATTAATAACTCCAAAATACTTCTTGGCCACTTGGAGGCATCTTAAAATAATCCTTTAAGCTGAACATAAATCATGTGTAGATTAACCTCGATCTCTCCCGTTTTCGGATAAGGGGTTTCCATCTGTAATTTTCTTGGCAAACAAAATTAACGGGAACTTGTTTCTCTACTCAAAGGCACTAATTTAATTTTTAAAGTAACGCATATTAATTTTCAACGTTCTCTTATCTGCAAAATAATGTTCCCCTGCCGTGAGTGGGAAACACAAATTATTTAGGAATAGGTTAAGTGTCACGTTTGATGAGACACTTTGTATCTCACACTCAGGCTTTTGACCATGGAACTATATATTCAGAGTTCAAAAAAAAATGATGCAGAGCTGGGGCGCCTGGGTGGCTCAGTCGTTAAGCGTCTGCCTTCGGCTCAGGTCATGGTCCCAGGGTCCTGGGATCGAGTCCTGCATTGGGCTCCCTGCTCCACGGGAAGCCTGCTTCTCCCTCTCCCACTCCCCCTGCTTGTGTTCCCTCTCTCGCTGTCTCTCTCTCTGTCAAATAAATAAAATACTTAAAAAAAAAAAAATGATGCAGAGCCAGAAGTCTGTTAGCCTGTGAAATGCTTTATCATTCATAAACACTTAATTTCCAAATTTTCTGAACAATCGTCCTGAGACACGAGTGTCCGAGTGCCCAAGGGCGTGACGTCATCCCCGTCCCAGGCCTCACGTACCCATGCAGTTGTGGCCTCCGTTGACCTGCATGTACTCGGGCGGGCAGATGCAGGTATAATTTCCCAGGGTGTTGTAGCACGTCCCAGGCCCGCACACTCCGGGGTGCGCGAAACACTCATCGATATCTACAACAGGCAAGGATACCCGTTAAGTCATAAAGCTACCGTTCCATGAATTCATGTGATTTAAGCTACTAAACAAAACATATGGCTGGGGCGCCTGGGTGGCTCAGTCGTTGAGCGTCTGCCTTCGGCTCAGGTCATGATCCCGGGGTCCTGGGATCGAGCCCCGCATCGGGCTCCCTGCTCCGCGGGAAGCCTGCTCTCCCTCTCCCACTCCCCCTGCTTGTGTTCCCTCTCTCGCTGTGTCTCTCTCTGTCAAATAAATAAATAAAATCTAAAAAACAAAACAAAACAAAAAAAACCAAAAAAAAAACATATGGCTGATTCCCCAAATCCATATTTAAAAAAAAAAATTAGAATTTAAAGCAGCTCTACAGAAAAGACCTCAAAAGATGCATTTACATGACACAAAGTGTAAAGTCTTTCTTTAAAAGAGAAAAAAAAAAAGCCAA